TCTAACAGGTCAGGTGGTCTCTAACATGACACTTGGTCTCTAACAGGTCAGGTGGTCTCTAACAGGTCAGATGGTCTCTAACAGGTCAGATGGTCTCTAACAGGTCAGGTGGTCTCTAACATGACACTTGGTCTCTAACAGGTCAGGTGGTCTCTAACAGGTCAGATGGTCTCTAACAGTGCACTTGGTCTCTAACAGGATAGATGGTCTCTAACAAGTCAGATGGTTTCTAAAAGGTCAGGTGGTCTCTAACAGATCAGATGGTCTCTAACAGGTCAGGTGGTCTCTAACATGTCAGATGGTCTCTAACAGGTCAGGTGGTCTCTAACATGTCACTTGGTCTCTAACAGGTCAGATGGTCTCTAACAGGTCAGATGGTCTCTAACAGGTCAGGTGGTCTCTAACATGACACTTGGTCTCTAACAGGTCAGGTGGTCTCTAACAGGTCAGATGGTCTCTAACAGGTCAGGTGGTCTCTAACAGGTCAGGTGGTCTCTAACATGACACTTGGTCTCTAACAGGTCAGGTGGTCTCTAACAGGTCAGATGGTCTCTAACAGGTCAGATGGTCTCTAATAGGACAGGTGGTCTCTAACAGGTCAGATGGTCTCTAACAGGTCAGGTGGTCTCTAACAGTACAGGTGGTCACTAACAGGTCAGGTGGTCTCTAACAGGTCAGGTGGTCTCTAACAGTACAGGTGGTCACTAACAGGTCAGGTGGTCTCTAACAGTACAGGTGGTCACTAACAGGTCAGGTGGTCTCTAACAGGTCAGGTGGTCTCTAACAATACAGGTGGTCACTAACAGGTCAGGTGGTCTCTAACAGGTCAGATGGTCTCTAACAGTGCACTTGGTCTCTAACAGGTCAGGTGGTCTCTAACAGGTCAGATGGTCTCTAACAGGTCAGGTGGTCTCTAACAGTACAGGTGGTCACTAACAGGTCAGGTGGTCTCTAACAGGTCAGATGGTCTCTAACAGTGCACTTGGTCTCTAACAGGTCAGGTGGTCTCTAACAGGTCAGATGGTCTCTAACAGTGCACTTGGTCTCTAACAGGTCAGGTGGTCTCTAACAGGTCAGAT